TCCCCATAATCCTCCAACGGTCCAAGCTGTCAGCGACACTCGGATGTTTGCTACAGTAAATATGTCTCTGTTTGTGCATTTATGAGTCTGGTGCCCCCCACATCCCTACAAGCATCCTGACACTACTGTAATTTCTCCTCAACACTGGCAACAAGTTCCCCTTTGTTTCCTGTTTGGCTCGTGAGACAAGCAGTCTGTAAGCCTTTCCATACTCTCCCAGCCGAACAATAGGGAAGCTATGTAGCCTCTCCTTTGTGTCTGTCTGTGCTCTTGTATTGTAATGCTACTTTATTTGTCCACTCTCAGCTTGCGCAGGCAAGATGCCCATCAATTCATTAACTTAATCTGTTTTTCATGAGCGAGAGCGGGAAAGCAGGAGGGAAGGAGCGCTGGAATCCGTAACGGTGTTGAGTTTTGTTTAAAATCATGCCAGGATATTTGGATTGGTCATCAGCCAAATGTAATCAGGAACGTGTCGAGTTTAACAGTGACTGTGGAACTAACAAATGGGAGATAAATGACATACATAAAAGTGAAGAGTGGGATGTTAAAACACTGGGAGACTCTTTGAAAATATGCACATGACAGCAAGTTGCTCATCAGAGAAGAGAGAGAAACTTAGTCTCACTCCAGACAGCCAGTAGTGTGTGTGTGTGTGTGTGTGTGCTTTGCGTGTTAGTATATATTGCATCGGTGGATCGAGTGAATAATTCAGCTACTGCAGGCGTATGTTCCATTACCTCAACCCCTCTGACTCCAGTCTTCAGCCCCTGAGGTGGCTGTACTGCAGCCATTAGCCTTTCTTCATCAGACACTTCCTCTTTGGGGGTGTAGAGAGGTGACGGTCTCCCCCATTAGATCCATCCCTTTAGATTCATAAATTGGAAAGGCCAATTTGCGATAATGGTCCCGTAAAAATAATTGCGCACATCAAGTATGTAGGTGTGAATTATTAACTGCGAGTTATGTCTGTGGATGAATAAGGAATGTCAAGTTAATGGTGTATATCTGTGGTAGACTAAGAAGTTCTGAGAAGTGCCGATTTGTTTGAACTTGGCTTATGTAGGACACGGAGGTCACACTTTGACACAGAATCCGGTCGCTTCGGGTGACTCTAACTGCAACAAATGAGGATTTGAATTAGACTGGGATTTCTAACGCACAACTAAATTGCACTGCACGTCAGGGTTCGTATCACCTTGTCGAGGTTTATTTTGCAATAATGACTGACTGACTGTACATTATACCACATATTTTATGGCTACTCACCAAATAAATTAATAAATAATATATATCTGCTATATATAAATAAAATATTCATATGAGTTAAAATTATTTAATAATCTATACCTGTATAGCATATTATCTTAAAAGAATAGTTCACCCAAAAATGAAAATTTGCTGAAAATGTACTCAGCCTCAGGCCATCCTAGATGTAGATGTGTTTGTTTCTTCATCAGAACAGATATGGAGAAATTTACCATTATATCACTTACATTGGATCCTCTGCAGTGAATGGGTGCCATCAGAATGAGAGTCCAAATAGCTGATAAAAATACCACAAAAAATCCACATGACCCCATGTTTGCCATAAACAAATTCATCATTAAAACGTTTTAAATTTAAACCCTTGCTTCTGACCAAAAATTACATAATCCATAATAACGCTGCCTCCAGAGAAAAGGTACTCTGGAAAGGCACTTCGAAGAATAAGTGGTCTAATATTCAATGTTGACAATGGATGACAGCTGATCTTTGAGTGGCTTGACTGACCAATCAGAATCAAGTATTACAGAGAGCTGCATTTACATTTTAGAGCACATTTTCCTCATAATTCATGCTGCATTGTATTGTCCGGCTACTGAAGAAGTTGTTCTGATATTTATCACTGAATAAGAAATAGATGATATAATAGCTGGTCTTTATGTTGTGTTAGTATATGCTGAATTGAGATCGTTTTCAAAAGCAAGAATTTTAAAAGCAGTGTTTCTGTACAAAAGTCTCTCTTACCATATCCGACATCAACATTTATTAGGCTCTGAAAACTAAATCAGCAGGAGAAATTATTTTGAGAGTTTGCCTCTGGGCATATAAGGATATTCTAATGTGTCATACAAAAAAAAACTACACACTCAAAGTAACATTAGTTTTAATATCTTAATAGCTTTGTTAGAAGAGAGTGAAGGAGAAAAAAAAATCATGGATTAAGAAAAAAAAATCCAATTAAAATCAACTGATTGGCAGTCTTTTGTATTATGTTGATGAGAAGGCAGTTATATTTTGCACGATTGGTCTTATTAAGAGCTTTGATGAGAAATCTGCTTATTACTTGCTGATACAGATGAGATAGGCTCCAACTTTATTAGTCTAGCAATAAAATTATAATACAGTCCCTTTGGCTTTATTTGGGCCATTTTGACATCCAGCTGAAATGATTCCATAGATCTGATCATTTATTAGTGTGCAAAACTTAGATCATTTAATTATTTTCAGAAAAAAGATATAAGGAAATTGCAGCATCTCTGTAAAAGTGGCAAAGCAGTGTAGTACAAGAATAAAATTGTGTTTAAAGAAACAATATAATATTTAGTTTGTTTGTGTGTGTTTGTGTACATGTCTGTGTGTGTCTGTGTGTGTGTGTGTGGAGAAGTTTAGTGATCTTTTCCACTGCCATTTTTCAAGGTGACACGACTCGGCTCCTTCAGGGCTTTCTTTCCAATTCTTTTTGGGATTGAAATTATGATGAAGTAATTTTTTCCCAGAAAATTGCCTCTGTCACTTGTGGTATCTTTCTGTAAATTTCTCAAGTGTATTTTTCCCCTCTGTCTCTCTCTCTCTCTCTCACTGAAAGCCAATGTCATTCTATCTTTCGACTCATTACAGCCAGGATTTTGTCTGAGATTCAGTATGTTGACATTTGACATGTATTTTGCAAGGGGAGACAATTATCGGGTGAACTCTGATCTATATACCTAAATATCATGTTGAACAGTGATAGAAAAGAGATTCAAACACGAACGCACCTATAAAAAAAGCATCATGTTCTGTAGGCCTATATGATATTATATCAATTTCTCAGTAAAACGTTCTCTCTTTAAAAAAACACCTGTTTCCAGAGTACAATATAAAGGCATGTGTCATTTGAGAGTTAAGGGGAATCCCTTTGAGAAATAGTGCCCTAATTTTTATTTTCATTGGAAAGTTATCCAATTATATTTAAGTTAACTTCCTGATGGTCGATTCAAGGACAAAGGAGTTGCACAAATATGCTTTAACCTTAAAACCAGAGAGATCTATCAACTCATTTATTGCTTCTATCTTTAGACCTCAGTCCTGTCTTCTCTCAAAAATAACGACTAACAGTGAGGTGGCCTGAACAACAGTACAGTTAGTCATTTGTGAGGAAAAATATGTACTTATGTGAAATAACATCACAATTTAGACGTTCTTGAGCTATTCTATTTGACAGCAGTATACCAATGCAAACGAATAGAAGAGAATACACACTTTGCACAACAAGCTCTTTCTTAAGCCTTTGTGCAGTGCCAAATATGTTTACTTTGACTAGTTTTCAGGCACCATATGGCTGCATTCGTCTTTGGATAATTAACATATTCCTCTAGTTCTGCTGTAAATCTGCAGCCCTGAAAAAAATATATCTGTTTGGTTCAAATTTTGATTGTAAGTCAGAATGACTTTTAATTCTGTTTATGATAAACTTTGTCAAATAAAAATATTGGAAATGTTGCAAGTTGATTTCATAAAGGTTACACGCACTATAGCCTATCTATTCCACTTCACAGGTTACATGTATTTCTTTTTGCAACACTCAGGCCTTTCCTGAATAGCCAGAAAAAGCTTTTTGTTCAACAACAGTGCTGTTACTCCAAGACAGCGCCTTACAATATCCAATGGACTGGTCTGGCTTTATTGTCATGCTTGTTTTTTGTCATTACATCACAATTATGAGTTTGTTCATACAGGGGAAATGGAAAATAAAAAAGGGGGTGGGGAGAAATGTAGGTCAGTGGTGATGCGCTCTGGGCAGCTAGTCTCTGCCTTTCCCTGGATGGGTCTGTAGCTCAGTCTCTGTCTCCACATCCCCCCTACAGACACAGGCAGTGGGCAATTTCACACTCTCCTATTTGCTGTTTAAATGGATGGCTATAGATGAGGGGGATTTAACGAAGTATAATTATTTATTCATCAACCAAATGTATAAAAATATGAAACCATATTATGCAATTTAAAAAATATATAATTTTTTTAAAATGTATTTACTTTTTGTGCCATAGAGAAAACTGTAATGATCAGATTTTTTTTTTTACTACTTGAATACTACTACTGCTGTTGTCTGATTTGGCACCTGATACATTGCACACTGGGAATAAAAACAAAACAAAACTAAAAAATATTTATATATATATATTTCTAAATTAGCCAAAGTGTTTGTGGGAAGGAATGGGATATTGTGTCTTTAAAGGCAATTTGGTCTCTCTAGTAGGTAAAATTTCTAAAACATCAAATATAAATTTCACAACAAGTTGTGTTTTATATAGCCTTATTGTGCCATACAGATTTTGAAAGTTTGTTTGAAACTATAATACATTTTTAAATACAATTTTAAAAAAGTATCCACACATTTTTACTCCCCAAGCAGTGCAACTCAGTTCATCTGGATCATTCAGACAAACTACCAATAATAATTGCTTCTACTACTACTAATTATATAATTGTAAAAGCAGTCTATTAACGGGGGGAAAACAAACAAGAAGGCTAATAAGGTGATAGGTACGAGAAGAAGGATTTTAAATAGTTTCTTTCGATAATGAATAAAAATATGTGTGTGCGAACTCGTGATCCGCGTCGCGCTCGCGTACGCGCAGACCGCACAGTGTGCGTCTCTGCTTAATGTCGCTGAAGACGCTAGAAAGTGGGCGGAGCGAAAAGTGTCAGTCCAATCCGGGCTGCCGTGCGCCTGCTCTCCCGTGCGCTCACGGAGGCAGTGAAAACCTCCGTTGGGTATATGCGCTCGCAGATGTCATGTGAAACCCCGCATGCTTGCCTTCCCGCACAACTGAAGAGTCCGAGCACCGCTTCACGCACCTGGAATGGTTTTGCACAGTAGACTTTGACTTTGACGAGACCAAACTTCACCACCTAGGATTTTGTTTGTGTGTTTTTTACTCTGGTTTATGTTTGTTTCTTCATGACTGACGCGTTCGGGAGCGAGTCGCCACCACTATGCGAGGTAGGAATACAACTGTTTGTGACAGCTCATTTGAATAATGAAGTATAGAGTGTCTTTTTATTCTCATCCCAGAGTTCTGTCCGCACAGTTTGTCCATCATCCCTGGTGCTGCTGTCTGTTTCATAAAGTCATACTGACGTGAGGGGGTTCGATTTCTGGTCTATGATACAGAAATCTGTCAGATTAACGTGTATATAGATTTTTAAAAAGTCTGTTTTTGGTCTTTTTTTTTTTTTTATGATTTAGAACCCCAGAGAGTCTCGTGTTGAATGAGTGCACGCGACAGTTCATCTGAGACAACTTCACTCCAACTTTCCTAAAGATTGCATTTTATTTATTTATTTATTTGTAGCCTATGAAGACTTAACACGGTAAATGCGTTGTCTTGGGCTTTTAATTGAATTTAGCCTATGTGCGTGTGAGTAATTGCAGCTTCTTTCTAGACTGTTACAGATGAACAGATTAGCAGGGGAAACAGCTGCATCAAAACTTATTCGTGTTATATTTTAAGTGATGTGGGAAGTGTTTTAAAGCAGACCACCACGGCGTGGGTAAAGTGGAGTTAGTGTCGTGCGTTCTACTGACCCATTTCCGTCAGTCACTCGCCGCTGCGCGCTGCGCGCTGCGCGCTGAAAGCGTCGAGCCGAGATCACACACGCTTTTCGGCCTCTTTGCAGTTACACCTGTAAAAAAAATGGAATTAACGAAAGTAGAAGTGTTTGGAGACTTTTTCCTAAAAAAATGTAAAATGATATATTTCAATTATAAAGTGTAAAAAGGACAGAAGAATGTGGCTTGTATTTCATTTGAATAAAGACAGAATACTTCAGTGTCGTAGTTCATGGTTCAAGTGCAACATACTAATGCTCTGACTTATTTACTAAAATACTTCAAAGATATTTAAATTCCTATTTTAGACTGTGGATGATATTTTGAAATAGATATAAGCCTGCCTTTTCTAAGAATTTAAGAATGTATAAAATCATGTTCATGTACAACATTTACAGTTCATGGCCAGGTCTTTATCATTGCATTGAAATATGTATTTAGATAATTAGACAAAACAAATTAAAGATGTTGAACTGCTAATTAAAATATGGATTAAAAGATTTTTTCTGATTGACAACTGATTGGTTCAAATACATGTATATTGTAACCAATCTTCTGCTGTTTTGGTTTCGATAGTTTTCGATTCATAGTAAAATATTTAAACAAATACAGCACACAATGCACGCGCATGGCAATACACGAAACAACACATTCTGATATATATATATATATGCCGACTTTTCACAAGTATCTATAATCTGTAAGTTTCTAGGCAGCTATTTTTTTTTTTTGCTTCTTCTTTGCAAAGAAATAAGTTTAGTGCGCATGACCTGGGAAACCCCAAAAACTCAGTTCTCCATCTCTGTGTCACAACCTATACACGCCCCCAAAGCACCTCTCTGCTTCTCTTTCTGTGCCCCAGAGGACCGTGTCAGAATGAATCACGTCAGTATCAGGGGCCTCTCACCGAGCCCGACTCTCTGACACTGACACTGTGCCTATAGCACGGGACTCATGTTTGCAAATAACAATGAAACATGCAATCTACATACAATCTTGTAAAATGTCCAGTTACTTTTGAGGTTTGCATGGACATACAAATACAGCACACAATGCATGCGCATGGCAATACACGAAACAACACATTCTGATATATATATATATATGCCGACTTTTCACAAGTATCTATAATCTGTAAGTTTCTAGGCAGCTATTTTTTTTTTTGCTTCTTCTTTGCAAAGAAATAAGTTTAGTGCGCATGACCTGGGAAACCCCAAAAACTCAGTTCTCCATCTCTGTGTCACAACCTATACACGCCCCCAAAGCACCTCTCTGCTTCTCTTTCTGTGCCCCAGAGGACCGTGTCAGAATGAATCACGTCAGTATCAGGGGCCTCTCACCGAGCCCGACTCTCTGACACTGACACTGTGCCTATAGCACGGGACTCATGTTTGCAAATAACAATGAAACATGCAATCTACATACAATCTTGTAAAATGTCCAGTTACTTTTGAGGTTTGCATGGACATCATTTTTAGAAATAGGATATATTTTTAGAGAACCAAATATAGAATTTTTAGACTAGATTACTGTCTACTTCTTTTAAATGTCAGTGACAGGACGGAAACAATTGCTATTATTTGTTTTAATTAGTTTATCTTATTATTATCATAATTTGTGCTTTTTATATTTACGCTTCATTTTGTGTGGTCCGACGTCAGAGAAACATTTTAGTCGATATAATGAGAAAAATTAAATAGCCTAAATCTTTCATCTTTTTTATTAAATATCCATTGTACAAAAAATATTTTTATAAGAGGTAGAAAATTATACAAATTATTTTTTTTTTGGTACCTAACATCACTAATGCACTAGTTAGTTTGTTGTGTGTTTTAGGGTGTTATTTTGTGTTCACATAGATGTGCGCTATTGGTTAAAACATTTATCAGGTTGCTTCATTGATCAGAGATGAACTTGCAGTGTTTTCCAATGCATATATCTGATGGACTGTGGTACCCAATCTAGTAACTCTAGCTCTGCATCCACTCCAAACCTTTTCTTCTCCATTACAGTGCACAGTGCTGCTTCAGGGCTGGTGTTAGTTTTCCCACAACTCTGTCACACGCAGATCACGTTCAAACTGCGTTTGTACGCACACACATGTACAACACAACACAACACATATCTTGATTGCTGTTTTAGTTGTTTGACTTTAAAGAACAGCAAAGAAACATATCTGGCCTGTGTTTACTTCATATCTGGCCATAATTTCCACAAATGCCTCTGAGCTGCATTGCTTTGTCCATGCTCATTTTAGTCTTTGCTGCCACAGACACAAAGAGAGACAGTAACGCATGAACTCCCAATGCCAATAGCTTTTAGCATCACATTGGCTTCCAGAGTGAGAGGCCATCTCTCCATCGACCTGCTTGATGTTGCGTGGCTCAGCTCGTAGAAGAGCAGGATCAATATACATGGCCTGCTCAACCATGAGCTTTATTCCTACTGTAAACTGTAAACCGTGTGTATATATATTATAGCTGTGTAAAGTAGAGGATCCATTTGACAAATCTTTTGTCCCATCAATGTATGTGTGTAAATATATTGCTTACCAAAGTGTTGGTTTTTGTTCAAACAAGTGTGTTTTCTACATTGAAGTTCAGGAACGGATCAATAAACACAGTATTGTTTGTTTGACACCATACAAATTACCACATAGCAGACATGGATTACGCATTGCAAGTCTCTAACCAGGCAGTAGGCCAACAATAACTTGGTAAAACTAGCAATAACCAGCCGCTACGGCTACATCTGGTGTGATCAATGAATTAAAAAGACAATAAAGTCTTGATATAGATATAACCATGAAATTGCAAGGCAGGGCCTATCCGATCTTTCAATTTGAAACCTAGGTTTGTAATGCTACTAATATCATCTGGTCAGTTGTTTGTTGTAGCTGCTAGTTTTTTCCTTTTTGCTTTGCTGACTAATGGCTTGTACTTACGTAACCTGTGAAAGATTACACAAAGAAAACCAAGAGATGTAATCCCCTAAAGTGAGGCAGAAAAAGAGTTGCACAGCCAGCACAAATCTAATCCATTTAGTATATTGCGTTCTTTATTCTACACTCAGTTTTACGGGCCTTTACACTTTAAATAATAAATTCTGGATGCAGCGTAATTGCCTACATACTGAGATCTGAGTTTACCTTCTAGCTGACCACATAACGTCAACCAGATGACTTGACATCTCTTTCTGCGTGTGAGCGTGTCGGCTTTTGTCCCCTGTAGTGTTTTTGTAAACGCATCTTGAGTATCGGCTGGGAATGTGTGGACTAGAGTATGTCATCTGTTTGCTGAGCCCTTGTTTGAGATGGTTGCGTGTGCATGAGAGAGCAGCTCTGAGAGAGGCTGAACTGTAAGGCTAAACATATCCTTTTTATGTTTGCATTTTGCCCTCTCTGTGGTATTGCAGCAGTGGCATTTCTGCATGTTTTCTCTGCTTTGCTGCGTGTCGGATTTATTAGTTCTTTTTGACTGGTCTCACCCTTCACTAGGTGTTCATTCATTCAGTAATGTGTGCTTTGGAAAGTGGCACCTGGGGCTTTTGATATGGTGCAGGAGGGGTCTGGGGAGCTGACATCAACGGAGACCATTCTCAAACATGACAATGATGTTGCATGCTGAACATGGTCATTTTTGTTTGTAAGGTTTATAAATTAATGCTAGTTTTGTCCAAAAGTCGGATTCAGTGTGATATGTATAGTGTCCAGAAAGTAACTTTCTGCTGAAAGGCTTACTGTTCCACTGCAGGCACAGAGGAAAGAGAAACTTTGTTTTATGCTTTAGAAAGAATTAAAACACATAGTTATGTAACACAGAAATCGGATCTAGAGTAGAACTAACTCTCTCTCTCTCTCTCTCTCTCTCTCTCTCTCTCTCTCTCTCTCTCTCTCTCTCTCTCTCTCTCTCTCTCTCTCTCTCTCCCCTGTGTGGTGTTGGTGTGTGGGGGCCCTCTTTACATGGAATTAAATTGTGGCCTAAGGCGAGCTATTACCATCCCGTCCTGAGAGGAAAGCCGTAAAGAGGCATGCAGAACACACACACACACACACACACACACATACTCTACGGTATATCAACATTTAGAGAACAGGCATTTTGATTAATAGCAGGCCAATTTATAACTATAACTATAAATCTATATTTAACTGCTCAAAGCACCAGATGTTTCCATGCCACGTAATATTTTTTAAAAAATTGCGTTATCCCAAACCAATAAACATATTAGTACAGATATTTTAAAAATATAGAAATCAGATGCATGCCAATTCAATTCAAATGTTCAATTAAAATAATTAACCATGGGTTTTATCAAATATTAATATTATAATTCGAAAGAGAATATCACTTTTGCTATTTTTGAATAACATCTTTTAATTTAAAAATACC